CTTTTTTTTTTTTAAACAAATTGAGATGACATTCATAGCGTAATATTAATCATTTTATTTTTTGAGGCAAGGTCTCTCTCTGTCACTCAGGCTGGAGTGCAGTGGGGCCATCATAGCTCATTATAACTTCAACCTCCCAGGCTCAAGCAATTCTCTTGCCTCAGCCCTAGAGTAGCTAGTACCACAGGTGTGTGCCACTATGTGCTAACTTTTGTATTTTTTGTACAGACAGGGTTTCGCCACATTGCCCAGGCTGATCTTGGACTCCTGAGCTCAAGGGATCCGCCTGCCTTGGCCTCCCAAAGTGCTGGGATTGTAGAGGGAAGCCACCGCACCTGGCCATATTAATAATTTTAAAGTATACAATTCAGTGGTGTTTAGAACATTCACAATGTGTACCACCTCTATCTAGTTTCAAAACATTTTCATTAGCCCAAAAGAAAACCCTTTACCCATTAAGCAGTCACTCCTCATTCTACCCTCTTTTAGCCCCTGGCAACAACCAATCTGCTTTCTATCTTTACAGATTTTTCTATTCTGAATATTACATATAAATGAAACCCATATATGACCTTTGTGTCTGATTTATTCTACTTAGCATAATGTTTTCAAGGTACCTCCATGTTGTAGCATGTATCAGTCGTTTGTTCCTTTTTTATGGCTGAATAATATTCTATTATATGCATACGTCATATTGTATTTATTTATTCTTTCATCCATTTATGGACATGTGGTTTGTTTCCATCTTTTGCTTATTGTGAATAGTGTTGCTGTGAATATCCTTGTACATGTATTTGTTTAAGTATCTGTTGTCGATTCTTTGAATATGTACCTTGAAGTACAATTGCTGGGTCATAGGGTAATTCCATGTTTGATTTTTTTGAGAAGCCACCAAACAGTTTTTTAACAATGGTTGCCCCATTTTGTATTCCATCAGCAATGTACAAGAGTTCCAATTTCTCTAACTCCTTAGCAATACTTACTGTTTTCTGTTTTTTTGTTGTTGTTTGGTTTTGGTTTTTTAATTATAGCAATCCTAGTGGGTTTGAAGTGGTATCTCATTGTGGTTTTGATGTACATTTCCCTAATGACTAATGATGTTGAGCATCTTTTTAGGTGGTTGTTGCCCACTGGTATATCTTCTTTGAAGAAATATCTATTTAAGTCCTCTGCCCATTTTTAAACTGAGTTGCTTGTATTTTTTTGTTGAGCTGTAAGAATTTTTAAAAATATACCTGATACCAGGCACTTAGCAGATATATGAGTTGCAAATGTCCCATTATTTAGTTGTCTTTTCACTTTCTTGGTAATGTCCTGACATAAAAGTTTTAAATTTGGACACAGTCCATTTTACCTATTTTTTCTGTTATTGCTTGTGCTTTTGGGACCATCTCTAAGAATTCATTGCCAAATCCAAAGTGATAAAAATTTACCTTGATGCTTTCTTCTAAGAGTTTAGTAGTTTTTGTTCCTGCATTTAGGTTTGCTTTTTTTTTTTTTTTTTGAGATGGAGTCTTGCTCTGTTGCCCAGGCTGGAGTACAATGGCACAATCACAGATCACTGTAATCTCTCTGCCTCCTGGGTTCAAGCCGTTCTCCTCTCTCAGCCTCCCAAGTAGCTGAGATTACAGGCACGCACCAGCATGCCCAGCTAATTTTTGTATTTTTAGTAGAGACAGGGTTTCACCATGTTGGCCAGGCTGGTCTTGAACTCCTGATCTCAGGCAATCCACCTGCCTCGGCCTCCCAAAGTGCTGGGATTTACAGGTGTGGCCCACTACACCCGGTCTTTTTTTTAAATCCATTTTGAGTTACTTTTTGTATGTGGTGTGAGGTAGGGGTCCAGAAAGTGTCATTCTTTTGGATGTGGATATCCAGTTTTCCCAGAACCATTTTTTGAAAAGATTACTTCTTCCCCATTGAATGGTCTTGGCACCCTTGTTGAAAATCAATTGTCCATAGATATATGGGTTTACTTCTGGACTCTAAATTCTATTCCATTGATGTTTATCTCTGTCCTTATGCCCATACCACACACTCTTTTGATTACTGTAGCTATGTAGTAAGTTTTGAAACTGGAAGCTGTGAGTCTTCCAACTTATTTTTTCAATATTATTTTAGATAATCAGGACCCCTTGCAATTCCATATGAATTTGAGAGGATCAACTTTTCCATTTCTGCAAAAAAAAAAAAAAAAAGGCATTGGAATTTTTATAGGAATTGCATTGAATATGCAGATCACTTTGGGTAGCATTGCTGTCTTAATATTAAATATTAAACATTCCAATTTTCAATAGATGAATATGAGATATCTTTTCATTTATTGATGTCTTCTTAACTTTCTTCCAGCAATGTATTGTAGTTTTCAGTGCACAAGACTTTCACCTCCTTAGTTAAATTTATTCCTAGATATTTTATTCTTTTGGATGCCATTATAAATGAGACTGTTTTCTTAATTTCCTTTTTGAATCATTCTTGCATGTCCAGTATTAATTTGTACTGAAATCTTCTAAGCTTTTCATTAACTTGTCACTTTGTAATTGTTCTTAAGTCATAAATTACCCAACAATATCAAAAATATTTAGTATTTAAGAATATCACCAACTTCTGAGCACAATTCTTTTTTCTCTTTCTTATTACATCAGTACAGTGTCCTCTTTACTTATAGGTATTCAGTAAGCTCTTAATAATTTACCAATTTTTATTCATTATTTATTTTTATGTATTTTTAAATTTCAGAGTCAGGGTCTTTCTGTGTCGCCTAGGCCAGAGGGCAGCAGCACAATCATAGCTCATTGCAGACTCAAACTCCTGGGGTCCAGCAAGCCTTCCCCCTCAACTTCCCAGGTAGCTAGGACTACAGGCATGTACCACCATGTCCAGCGAATTTTTAAGTTTTTTGTAGAGATGGAATCTCTGTGTGTCACCCAGGCTGGTTTTGAACTCTGGGTCTCAAGTGATCCTCTGCCTCGGCCTCCCAAAGTTCTGGGATTACAGATGTGAGCTACCACGCCAGCCCTTGATTCATTACTTTAGAAAATGCAAAATCATATCATCTAAATATCTATCCATGCTTGCTTTCTATTCCTATTAGCATTGCCTTAGTCAGGCAGATGCAGTTTCTCCCTATGGGATTTTCAGGTTTTTAATATTGTCTCTTCTTCCTTCCTAAATCTTGATGGTAATTTGTTTTTACAGTCTGGATCAAGATCAAGATTGCTGCAGGCTACCTCAACTTCTCTTTGGTTCACCCATGCTGCTCTTAAGGGAGAAAGAGAGAACGGGTTCAGGTTCAGTTATTAAAATACCTCTTCCGTGAAGCTTCCCCTAGACTGATTATTGAAAAGCTAAAGCTAATTACCTCTCTTTTTTATCTCATTTGCATGAAATTGTAATCTCTCCAGCATCGTATCTAATTATGTACTCACTCTTGCCTTAATTAAACTGTATTTAAAATCACAGAATTAGAAGTTGGAGGGGACGTTAGGAATATAATGCAGACTCCTGGTTAAATGTGGTCGAATGAGCACATTCATTACCGCTGATGCCTAGCCAAAGTCTTCTAAAATGCCAATATATTCAAAATGCATAAACCCACAAGGACAAAGAAACTGGGTAAGAAGATGACAGTGACTACACTTTAAGAGTTGTAAAGCAGATGGAAAGGTGGAAACTGACCTAGCAGAGTCATTAACCCATTAAACTATGAATGAAAGAAGCTCAGAGCAAGCCAATTCCCAGAACTGCAGAAAAGCTTGGGTATTCGAGGTGCTAGGTATCTCTGAAACGGGAAAAGTGACTGAAAAAAAAAAAAAGAAAAAAGCCATAGATGAGGGCAGGGATGCTTTACAGAAAATGGGACTTAAACGAAAGCCAGTATTAGACAGTGACAACCCAGCTCACTCCTCCAACTCAACTCTGAGAATGCCGCAACCAAGCTTACCCTCTTCAACCCACAGGAAACTGGAAAATTCCTCTTTGGGAAGATGTTCCACCCCAAGAGCAGGGAAAACCTTCCAAGCTTAATAAGATCATTCTACACTGATCAGTCCAGCCTCCTACTCTGCCTCACCTCTGGTGTTGGTCTCACTGTTCTTTTTTTAGTTTAATTTATTGTGGTAAGAACACTGAACATGAAATCTACCCTGTTGACACACTGTTACATGTACAATATGTTTTTGTTGTCTATAGGCCCATTGTCATGCTGCAGATCTCCAGAGATTATTCATCTTGTTTAACTGATACTTTATGCCTGTGATTGGTCACTGTCCTATAAAGGATCACCTTCAGACAATAAAGGAATTTCTCCAGCATGAAGGACAGAATGAACAAAATGGAACTCAGAGGAAATCAAAGCCATGGAGTTGGCAGGAAAACGTGTTTAAAAAATACCTACTGTCTGTTCTCGTTGCTAGGAAAAGATATCATATCTCCCCTCTCCGCAAAGAAAGGAGGCTTTAAAAAGGAGCACTGAGAAGAAAAGAGACCCTTATAAGTGGAAAATGCTATAGTAGAAAAAAAAAATTCAACAGAAGGGAAGGAAAATAAGACAAGGAAAATAAAGTGGTTTCTGAGGACTGAAGCCACATAAGTTTACTGTTTAAATTTACAAGACATTACTCTTTTAGTCTCTTCACAAATAAAACTTTATTATAAAAGGGACCTCTTTCATGAGGCAATAAAAGAAGCAAATAACCTTGTTTATTCTGGGATTTATTTCCCCCAGGACCTGTTAAAATAAACTGTCCTATTTACCAATAGACATCATCAAGTGACAGTTTACTTTTTTTTTTTTTTTGAGACAGGGTCTTGTTCTATTGCCCAGGCGGGAGTGCAGTGGCATGATCATAGTTCACTGCAGCCTCCAACTCCTGGACTCAAGTGATCCTCCCTCCTCAGTCTCCTGAGTAGCTGGGACTACAGGCATGCATCACCATGCTCAGCTAATTTTTTTATTTTTTGGTAGAGACAGGGGTCTCACTGTGTAAGCCAGGCTGGTCTCAGATACCTGGGCTCAAGTGATCCTCCCTCAGCAGTCTCTCAAAGTGCTGGGATTACAGGCATGAGCCACCAAGACTGGCACCAACACTCTTTGAATCCGTCACCTCAAAATCCTTGCTGTGTCCACCAACTCTAAACTATTATCCTTATCCAATTCTGATCAAGCCCTAGCGCTGAAAGACCTGACTTAAACCAGACTTCAAAACTTCATAAATATGTCAACTTTTCCCTGCCCCTTCTGAGAGGCTACTAAGACTCTGTCAAGTTAGTGTTCTTCCTTACTGCCATAGGAATAAAGTTGTCTTTGTTTAATCAGTGGGTTGTTTTAGTGATATTTTGGTGGAGCCAAAATTATTACCTTTCAAAAATTAGTACAAAAAGACATAATGGGAGACAAAAGAAAAAAGAAAAGCAAGTTAAAAGATCAGAGATCTAACATCTGAATAATATAATAGAAATTTCAACAAGAGAAAGAGAAAATATTGGGAAGAAAAATACTAAAAGAAATAATTTGAGAAAATTTCCCAGAACTGAAGGCCATAAATTTCTAGAATACAGGGCATGATGAAATCAAAGGAGACCCACACCAAGGTTAAAATCATTGTACAATTTCAGAAATGTTGAGACATTACAGAAAGCTGGGGGAAACTGCTTGGTTGCCTGCAGATTAAGATTATTGCCACCAGATGGCAAGAATTCCTCAAAGGCTCTAAGACTGAGATTTTTGTTTCATTTTCTTCTTCAGATCTTTCCAACGCATTAGAAAGAGAATTCTCATTTGGCTTCTCTCCATCTAGTCTGGCTCCATCAGAGATCTGACTGTTTTCCTCCTAAACAACTCTGCTAGAAGGTCACTATATAATCAGCCTGGAGGAGTAAGTACATTCTCTTTGAGGAATTGACTCATGTGGCTTTGAGGTTAAAAGAAAGACTTTTAAGAGAATGGACTCTGGACTACAGTTGTCTATTGTGAACAGAAGGACTTCTGTCATGCAGGGATTCCACAAAGCATTCGTTCATTCATTCATTCATTCATTCATTCATTCATTCTTCCAACAAGTTTTACTGATGCTGACTATATGCTGGGTACTGTGTTAGGCACTAGGAATAAAACTTCAGTAAAAGAAAATCAGACATGGACTTTGTCTTCATGGAGATTAAATTCTGAGGAGAGAAACATTCCATAAACGTGTATATATATACGTTTTTAGTAGAGACAGGGTTTCACCATGTTGGCCAGGCTGGTGTTGAACTCCTGACCTCAGGTGATCTGCCCGCCTGAGGGCATTTACATATATAAACAAATGTATGTAACTATATACATACATATATATTTAAATAAATTGTGATGAGTGCTATGATGAGCTAGGTATGTGGAGAAAAAGAGGTCTATTAGGTATCTGAGGAATCTGATGGATTCCTGTAAGAGTGGAAGTAAGCAGGTCAGCTAGGAAGCTATTGCAGTTTTCTAAGAGGGAGATAAAGATGACTTGGATCAGGGTGATGCCAGAGGAAAGAGAAGTAGATGAATTCAAGAGAAGTTGGAGGTAGAATTGACAGGATGTAGTCATTAGATCTGAGAAGTTAGAAAGCAGATGCATTAAAGATGACTCCCAAGTCTCTGGATGAAGCAAGTGGCTGGGTTGATGGGGTTGCCATTTTTTGAGGTGGAGAAAGCCTGGGGAGGAAGAAGTTTTGGAGGAGGGGATGGTGGATAGATTCAAGAGTTCAGGGGCCTGGCGCTATAGCTCACACCTGTAATATCCCAGCACTTTGGGAGGCCAAGGTGGGCAGATCACCTGAGGTCAGGAGTTCAACACCAGCCTGGCCAACATGGTGAAACCCTGTCTCTACTAAAAATACAAAAAAGTAGCCGGGCATGGTGGCACGCACCTGTGGTCCCAGCTACTTGGGAGGCTGAGGTAGGAGAATTGCTTGAACCCAGGAGGCAGAGGTTGCAGTGAGCCGAGGTCACACCACTGCACTCCAGCCTGGGTGATACAGTGAGACTCTGTCTCAAAAAAAAAAAAAAGAGTTCAGGGTGGAATGTTAATTACATTGGCCTTTTGTTTGGATACCACTGGTCCAGGCTAGAATGGATTTTGCTCTGATCTACTGTGTAATAGAATGACTTGGCCTGGTTTATTTAGTTTAAATTGGCTCACAGTTATCATTCATTAAGTTAAAAATTGTTGTTAACACAGTGGCCCTACAGAGCAATAGGAAAATCAACTTACATTTGTACTATCTTTTCTGATGTGGGCATTTGAGAGTTAAAGAGAACTGTCCAGGCTCACGCCTGTAATCCTAGCACTTTGGGAGGCCAAGGTGGAGGGATTGCTCAAGGCCAGGAGTTTGAGAACAGCCTGAGTATCACAGGGAGACCCCATCTCTACAAAATATTATAAAATTAGCCAGGCGTGATGGCACACACCTGTGGTCCCAGCTACTCAGGAGGCTGGGAGGTGGGAGGATTGCTCGAGCCCTAGAGGTGGAGGCTACAGTGAGCCATGTTTGCACCATTACACTCCAGCCTGGGCTACAGTGATACCCTGTCTCTAGAAAAAAAAAAAAAAAAAGGAGTGGGCCACAGCATCTTCTACATTTTTTGTTGCATTTTTTTGCACTCTATTCATAAGGGGCACACAGTCTTGAGGATAAGAAGCTTCTGGAAAATGCAAGCCCAGTTGTTTTGGTAGATCCTTCTGAATGATTATGCACAGGTAAGATCCTGAGTGTGATAGTGAGGTGGCAGAGAGGAAAACTTCTTCCAGTGACTCTGAAGATAGAGAATATTTGTCCTATTTTATCCCCGATATAGTACTTAATAACATATTTACACAGTAAGTGTTGAATAAAGCTGCTCCACCTGGGTTGTTTTCAGTCTCCAGACCTGAGTTGAACTCTCTGGAGGATTTGAAACCCCTCTTCCCAAAGAGCTGATACATAATTAGCTGTGTGCTGGGACGAGGTGCCTCTCTGGACTCACCAGGGCTTAGGACCTCATTTCTGGGGTACTAGGAAAAAGACACTTGTCCTTTCTTCTTCCTACACCCACTTCCATGGAGGTCTTTTGCCACCATCAACACAGTATTAAGGCAGAATTTAAAACCAACTTAGCCCTCAACATTGATGTTTTCATTTGTAACCTCAAGGTGGAACAGTTGGTTATGTACTGTGCCCATAATCAGCAGTTACCTCAGTCTTTTTCTTTGATTTATGCTTTGCCTTCTCTTTGTGCCTTACCCTTTTGTTTAGACTATATGCTATTTTGAGGGCAAGAATTGTGTCTTTTTAAACTTCATATTTCCATACGATTTATTTTTGTCTCTTTTTTTGTAATAAAAAGCGTATATTTTGAGTAGTATATACATAAACACAGTGAAACGATTACTACAGTCAAGCAAATTAACATATCCATCTCACAGTTACCTTTGTGTGGCTGTGTGTGTTACGTATGTGTATTGTGACAGCACTTGAAATCTTCTATCAATTTAGAACAGTTCGTTATAGCACTGACAAGGGGAAGGAATGGCCTGGGAGAGCTTTAGCTCCCCGCCACCAATTTTTATAAACCCCACAACCCCCTTCCAGAATCATAATGAATACATAAACAAAAATTTATAATTATCGATAAAAGCATATTTTTGGTTGGGCGCAGTGGCTCACGCCTGTAATCTCAGCACTTTGGGAGGCAGATGTGGGTGGATCATTTGAGGCCAGGATTTTGAGACCAGCCTGGCCAATATGGCAAAACCCCGTCTCTACTAAAAATACAACAAACAAACAAAAAATCCCACAGGTGTGGTGGTGTGCATCTGTGAGCCCAGGTACTCTGGAGGCTGAGGCAGGAAAATCACTTGAACCTGGGAGGCCTCAGAGGCTGCAGTGAGCTAAGATTGCGCCGCTGCCCTCCAGCCTGGGCGACAGAGTGAGACCCTGTCTCAAAAAAAAAAGCATATTTAGAACACACATTATTTACTACGCAGAAGTAGCCTTGAGACAAGTCCTCTAGCTTCCCCTTCCCTCCAGATTGCTACTCCTAGTTTCCCTTGTGAAAATCTACCACTCCCACTGCTCAAGAAAGTGTTAACAAACTGCTGTTAAGGAACAGGAGCCAATGCCTGGCGAAGGCTGCAGCATTCCTCTGAAAGCGGAGGTTATGTTGTTTTTGTGCTGGTGGCCTGTTCTTAGATTTGCAGAAGACTCACCCTTAAATAACTTGGGGTTCTTGTTTTCCTGATCCAAAGCTTTTAATTCAACAAATTATTTGGGATAATGATGTGTCTGAAGCCCTCTGAAAAGTTCCCTTTGAACTTTTATCTGAAATGATAAGAAAAAAGTCAGGCTGCACCTGGAATCCAGACTTTGTTTCAAGTTCTTTCAAAACAATGCAGATATGGCATATTTAAACAAACTACAATTCTGGGAAGCTTTTTAAGTGGAAAATTTTGGTTTTGAGCTTTTGGAGAGGGTAGTTTGGAAACATCATACCACATTTAAGCCTCAATCTAAATAATAAAATGTGTAAAATAGTTTTCCTATATATTATTTTCCCCAGTTCAAAAGATTTTGTCTTAGTCCCAGCTTTTTTCATAAAAATTATAATTGTTTGATAGTATAGTCAGCTAAAAAACCAAAATTTGAGGTTTAAACATTGAAAAGGAGGTGGTAAAATTGTCATTATTTGCAAATGACGTTATCATATATACCTGGGAAGCCTAAGGGAATCAACTTAAAAGTTAGAAGGAGGCCAGGCGCGGTGGCTCACACTTGTAATCCCAACCCTTTGGGAAGCCGAGGCAGGGTGATCAGGAGGTCAGGAGATTGAGACCATCCTGGCTAACACGGTGAAACCCTGTCTCTACTAAAAATACAAAAAATAGCTGGGTGTGGAAGCAGGCACCTGTAATCCCAGCTACTCGGGAGGCTGAGGCAGGAGAATCGCTCGAACCCAGGAGGCAGAGGTTACAGTGAGCTGAGATCGCACCACTGCACTCCAGCCTGGATGACAGAGTAAGACTTCATCTCTATTTAAAAAAAAAAAAGAAGAAGAAGAAGTAATAGGAGCATTCACTAAGGCAGTCATTGCAAACAATACATAAAAATTAATAGTATTCTTATATTCCAACCAAAACCAGTTCAAAAATATCACAAGTAAACTTTTTTTGATCACAAATCAAAACAACAACCAACCCTAACAGGAAGTAAGCAGGACCTAGATGAATAAAAACATGAAACTTAATAGAGGACAGAAGTGGATTGATCTCATGTCAAATTGTAATCCCCAGAGTTGGAGGAGGGACCTGGTGGGAGGTGATTGGGTCGTGGGGATGGGCGTCACCCTTGCTGTTCTTGTGATAGTGAATGAGTTTTCATGAGATCTGGTTGTTTAAAAGTGTGTAGCACCAAAAGCAATTACAACAAAAGCCAAAATTGACAAACGAGGTCTAATTAAGCTAAAGCACTTATGCACAGCAAAAGAAACTATCATCAGAGTAAACTGGCAACCTACAGAATGGGAGAAAATTTTTGCAATCTACTCATCTGACAAAGGTCTAATATCCAGAATCTACACAAGAAAACACAACCCATCAAAAAGTGGGTAAAGGATATGAACAGGCACTTCTCAAAAGAAGATGGCCAACAAACATATGAGAAAAAAACTCATCATCACTAGTCGTTAGAGAAATGCAAATCAAAATCACAATGAGATACCATCTCATGCCAGTTAGAATGGTGATCACTAAAAAGTCAGGAAACAACAGTTGCTCACGAGGCTGTGGAGACATAGAAACGCTTTTACACCATTGGTGGGCGTGTAAATTAGTTCAACCATTGTGGAAGACAGTGTGGCGATTCCTCAAGGATCTAG